CAAGGGCTTCCGACAGCGGGATGAAGCACGATGAGGTACTCAGGCAGCTAGCGAGACGCTCTGCGGAAGAAAGGGCTTGCTCGATGCTGCTTCACAAACTTGTTTTACGGGCTTCGAAAGCGACGTTAGAGACTCTGCATGGGGTCGCACTGAGAGGACAATTTTTGGATGATATTTGGTATCGAAGTAGATGGTGGAAAAGCGTGGCGAGGGAGATTGCCCGGAGCCTTGGAGGGAGCGCGCGAGCATGGTGTTGAGGGGAGGAGCTTGCGTGGGATTTCTACGGATTGCGAAGGCTGCATCGCGCAGCTGAAGCTGGCAAGGGCTTGCGATAGCGGGATGAAGCACGATGAGGTACTCAGGCAGCTAGTTAGTGAGACGCCCTAGACAGCGGGACTGAAGCAGCACTGATTTACCTTGGGCCAATACCGTTCTTGCTCGTCGTTTCTACAGTATAAGCTTTCAGCGCAGGTCCTTCCTACAAAAATGAAGTTGGCGGCACCAGGGCGAAGCCTATACGGGCGCCGGCCCCGGCGCCCGTTCCCTTGCCGGAGGCCTTCGGGTTGGCAACCGAAGCTTCGCTCGCCGCCCCTGCCGCCGACCCTTTTGGTCGACCCTCGGTCGACCCCCGGTCGACCCCCGCCCGAATCCGGTCGACAAATGTAAAAAAATGCTGTGTTTTTCAAGGGTGGTGTCGGTTATGCGCGCCGCGCGGACAGGATTAATCGACATTTCGTGGGTGTTGGGCACGCGCCAACAAAGGCGGAACATGTGCTCCAAGATGATCTGACACAGCCCCTCAAGAGGACCCAACATAGGTCCCAGATATGGCGCACATAGCCGCAAGATGACCCTACCTAGGTCCCAGATATATGGGAAACATAGTCCCTAGATGGGCCAAGATTGCCTCAAGATGTGGCAACATAGGCGCCACACAGTCTCAGAAAGAGAGAAGAGAGAGAGAGAGAGGCGGCAGGACACGTGCAAGACGGCTCTCCCGACCTCGGCGTATACCAGGACGTATACGCCCGGGCGGTCAGCCCTCTTCTCGAGAAGGACGCTACAGGGACGCCCGAAGTCCCGGCCCCCGTCGTATACGAGGGTGGGGAAGCGATGCTCTCCCACGACCTTGTGGCAGACACAGAGACAGAGACCGACAGATACCGAGACGGAGACAGAGACGCCCTACACATACCCACATAGGCCGGCGCCGCCGGCCACGGGCCCGTGTCCTTGCCGGAGGCCTTCGGTTGGTAACCGAAGGTTATATACGCTCGCCGCCCCTGCCGACCCTTTTGGTCGACCTCCGCCCGACCCCCGGTCGACCCCCGCCCGAATCCGGTCGACAAATGTAAAAAATGCTGTGTTTTTCAAGGGTGGTGTCGGCTACGCGCGCCGCGCGGACAGGATTAATCGACATTTCGTGGGCGCGCTCCAACATCAATGGCGGAAAATGTCCTCCAAGATGACCTGATAGAGGCCCCCAAGATGACCCAACATAGGTTCCAGATATGGGACACATAGCCGCCAGATGGCCCTACATAGGTCCCAGATATGGGAAACATAGCCCCAAGATGGGCCGAGATTGCCTCAAGGGCTATATACGCCCACACAGTCTCAAAAACAAGAAAGAGAGAAGAGAGAGAAGGGAGAGAGAGAGAGAGAGAGAGAGAGAGACAGACAGACAGACAGACAGACAGACAGACAGACAGACAGACAGACAGTCGGACATAGAGAGAATATAGGCAGAGACAGCGCCAGCGCCAGGGAGAGGCCAGGAGCCCGTGGCATGCCGGAGGGCCTTCGGTGGTAACCGAAGGTTATATATACGCTCGCGCCCCCTGCCGCCGACCCTCGGGCCCGGACCTCCGGGTCACTGAAGCCCCTGTAATTTACGGAGTTTCGTTTGTGTGAGGTATAAAAACACTGTGTTTTACAGGGTTTATTGCGCATATCGAAGCACGACGCGGCGAAGATGGAGAAATGCAAAAACACTGTGTTTTTCATGGGTGGTGTCGGTGATGCGCGCCGGGCGGACAGGCATAATCGACATTTTGTGGGTAGAGGCCCTCCAGACGACTCAAATTGCCTAACATATCCTCAACATAGGCCCAAGATAGCCAACATATCCCCAACAAATGCCCAACATAGCCTCCAAGATGGCTCAACATAGGGCCAACATAGGCCAACATGGGGTCGACATACGCCTAGGCCATAGGCCAACATGGGCCTAACATAGGCCAACATAGGCCCAACATAGGCTCAACATGGGCCCAAGATGTGCCCAACATAGACCACATGGGCCAACTTGGCTCACCCGACCCAGCCCTACACAGACCCTAGTGCGCCGGCGCCCGGCTGTTAGGCGTAAGCCTTTGAATCCGGGCGCCGGCCCCAGGGCCAGCGTGTCGCGCCCGGAGGGCCTTCGGTTGTAACCGAAGGTTATGGAGCGACGCCCCCTGCCGACCCACCCCCGACCCACCTCCTACTCACCTCCGACCCACCTCCCACCATGTAATTTACAGTGTTTCGTGTGTGTGAGGTACACAAAACACTGTTTTATAAGGTTATTGCGCATACTGAAATGCGACGCGGAGAAGATGGTGAAGGGTGGTGTCGGTAACGCGCGCCGCGCGGACAGGCATAATCGACATTTCGTGGGCGCCGGGCACTGGCCAACATCAAAGGCGGAAAATGTGCTCCAAGATGATCTGACAGAGGCCCTCAAGATGACCCAACATAGGCCCCAGATGTGGCACACATAGCCGCAAGATGACCCTACATAGGTCCCAGATATGGAAAACATAGCCCCTAGATGGGCCAAGATAGGCTCAATCAAGATGTGGCAACATAGGCCCCACACAGTTTGAAAGAGAGAGAGAGAGAGAGACAGAGAGAGAGAGACAGACAGACAGACAGACAGACAGACAGACCGACAGACCGACAGACCGACAGACCGACAGACCGACAGAC